AAGATCATACTTTCTCATTTTACAAAAGTTGGCAAGCATATAAACTGAACACCCAGTTCAGATCTGGAAGGGAAGGATATATATCTCTGTGGAGCATTGCCTTCAAGGCATAAGGCTATTCACAGATGAAAAGCTATTGTTTCAGCAGGAAAGTGAATTTCCCCTTTCACTGCTGGCCTGCACTGCTGGCCAAAGGCAAGGAGGGAAAACAATTCTTTCTCACGCTCCTGTGGAAAGTGAAATGTCATACAAGTCCAACACAACCAACATTTATTTTACAACCCAATAAAAGGAATCTCATTGGGGAAGGATCACTAAAACCCTCTGGGTCACCGATTATTCTTGGTGAACCTTTCACAAAGGTTTTCTCCACAGATCTCTTAAATTGCTCTCTACTCATCCTTGAGCCAAAAGAACTAAACCAGCATAAAATCTGCTCTCTCCACTGCCCATGTTTATCTTCCTCTATGGTTCTGACTTACTGCCAGATAACACTGTCTTGGGTGTGCCAGAGTACGTTGAGCGCAGCTGTTGGTTAAAATGTGGTTTTACTTCCATCCCCTTTTCTTAATATTATTAGCTAGAAGGAACCATCACACTTCTGTGATTAGTGGATGGTTTGGCAAATGGCTAGATCCCTCAGTTTTGCTAGCTATCATACTCTAATACAGCTACAGGCACTGGATAGTTTGACATATGAGCATCGAGGCCGTTTGTAAAGAAAGAATGACTTTGATTTTTAATGGACAGCTTCTCCACCCTATCAGCTGCTAGGTGGGTTTCTTTTAACATGGATGTAGTGGATTTTCAAAAGACCGCTAAACCAACACTTCTTCCTCACTAGTTGGTCTCCTTTACCACACAAATCAACTGCTAGGCTTGCAGATCATTGGATATTGCGTGATAAAACAGGAGAGACTGATTCTCCTTGTAATAGCCCACAGATCAGCTGTTTTGTTCCCAAAGGAAGCCACCCAAAAGCCTATGTGTGTGTGCGTGAAGATGTTATCTGATAAAACAGTCTTTACAATGCAGCTCTTCCCCACCACATGTTAGTGGTCCAGTGGTTCTGAGAAGTAGGAAGCACCTGGTAGCTCTCCCCTGTTCTATCTCCCTCCAGAAGAAAAATGATCTAAAGGACAGCAGTCTGGGCTCCAGGGGAGGAAGTATACAAAATACCAACTTAAATGACAAATAGGTGGCAGGTCATCCTGCCTTCTATGGGCCATCCCTAGAAGAAGAACATGAACGGAAAGCATGACACATTGCCCTCACCCTTAAACTACCACTGGTTGCTGCTGACCTAAGAGGAAAACAATATGTTAGTTCCAGTACAGCTTACTACAAAGAGGCTATCTCAAGCTTTAGCTAAGGCATCATGGCAGAATAAAGATGTTGCCAGAAGATGTTTGTATGGTGGTAAGAAACAAAGAGAGAAAGGCCCTTAGGGAGATTAAATGGAGGAGTCTGAAATTCTGCCAAAGCAGTGGGCAGTTCCTAATACAGAGATAATTCAGCCTGTTAATCTTCAGCGTTTTAGTTTTCAACTCTTTAGCCTTTGCAAGTCCAGAGCAGCATGTACTTATCCTTATCTTGCTTTATATTACTGTATAGAACAATTGCATCCCAATGGCTTTGGGGAGGGGGGAGGAGGGAAGAGAGCAAAAGGGTTCTGAGAAGAGGCCATTCAGATTTAAATTCTAGCAGATCTCTCTCCAAAATCCAGCCACACAGTATAGTAGGATTCAGCCCCTTGTTATGGAGAGGTTACTCTCCTCCTGCCCACTCTGTAACCTCTACTTCCAGGAGTCATGGGGAAGAAGCCCTAATTACAGCAACACAGCAAACCCAACACAAACTCCAATCCATCCTTCTGTTTACACTTTACAAACATTATAAAGAGATTACACATGATTAGCAATAGAAAGCACAACTGCTTGCTAAACAACAGCAAGATATAATCAATCTTGATCCTCTGTCAAGGCTCAAGCACGTTCCATTTGTCAGTTGTCTTACATTTGCAAATAAAGGTTTGCCTATTCCTGAGTCCTGGAGAGCCAAAGCCACCTCAGGAGCAGAAATATCATGCAAAACAGGAGAAATGTCTCTGATAGGGCATGCTTATGGGATACATGGAAACTGCACAGATAGGCTGTCCAACCAAATAACAACAACAACAACAACAATAATAATAATAGCAGGAAAATTGTACAAGACCAAGCCTTAAGGACAAATGCATACAAAGTCAAAATTGAGAAGACAGCAACAGACAGTAAGTGCCGCCTATGCAAAGAAGCTGAAGAAACAGTGGACTACCTGATAAGCTGCTGCAAGAAGATCGCATAGACTGACTACAAGCAGCAGCATGACAAAGTAGCAACAATGGCGCATTGGAAGATCTGCAAGAAATATCATTTGCCTATAAGCAAGAACTGGTGGGATCATAAAATAGAGAAAGTCATAGAAAATGATAAAGTTAAACTGCTCTGGGACTTCAGAATTCAAACACACAAGCACCTGCAACATAACACCCCGGACTTAACAATTGTCGATAAGAAAGACAAAAAAGTCTGGATAGTGGACGTGGCAGTGCCCGGAGACAGCAGAATAGATGAGAAAGAACTGGAGAAGATAACAAAATACAAAGACCTACAAATGGGTGCAATCCCAAAACAACTGGAGCACCACTTGAACACCATTGGCATTGACAAATTTGCTATTAGTCAATTGCAAAAGGCGGCCTTATTAGGAACTGCTTCCATCCTGCGACGATATCTGTAATACCATCAAACATCCACACCTGTCTATCCCAGGTCTGTGGTAAGGACTCGATAGGTAGACAAAATGCCAAATCCAGTCTGAACATCTGGCTGACTGTACAATGATCCATAACAACAACAACAACAACAATAACAATAAAGTTGGAAGGGACCTTGGAGGTCATCTAGTTCAACCCCCTGCTCAGGCAGGAAACCCTACACCATTTCAGACAAATGGCTGTCCACTCTCTTCTTAAAAACTTCCAATGTTGGAGCATTCACCACTTCTGGAGGCAGGTTGTTCCACTGGTTAATTGTTGTAACTGTCAGGAAGTTTCTCCTTAGTTCTAGGTTGCTTCTCTCCTTGATTAGTTTTCACCCGTTACTTCTTGTCCTACCTTCAGGCGCTTTGGAGAATAGCTTGATTCCCTCTTCTTTGTGGCAGCCCCTGAGATATTAGAACTCTGCTATCATGTCCCCCCTCGTCCTTCTCTTCATTAAACTAGACATACCCAATTCCAGCAGCCGCTCCTTACAGTGTATGTTTTAGCCTCCAGTCCCCTAATCATCTTTGTTGCTCTTCTCTGTACTCTTTCTAGAATCTCAACATTTTTTTTACATCGTGGTGACCAAACCTAGATGCAGTATTCCAAGTGTGGCCTTACCAAGGCAATAGGAGAACATTCATGTGAACCCCCATTATAGGAGATTTTCATCAAAATTCAGATGGCCCAGTTTTTTCAGAAAATTCCTTCTCCTCTTCTGGCTATTCTGAAGAATCACACATTCTCTACTAAAATTAATTTTGATCTGCACAACTACTTTAGTGTCCATTCTTTGCTTTGCCATGGACCAATATATTCTACAAAGGACTCCTAGCTTATTTTGTAGTTAAAGAAAAGCCAGCCTTTAACTCAGTAAGAAGCATAGTGCAGATGGTCCTCATTTAACGACTACTCATTCAGTAACCATTCAAACCTGCGGCTGTGTTGAATGAGAGGCAGTTACAATGGGTCCTCCAAGTTCTGACTGTTGCAGTACCCCACAATCACATTATTGTGATGCAAGCACTCTGCAGTCAGCTCAGGTTTCTGATTGTTGCCGTTCATAATTTGTGGCTTTCCACAAGCAAAGTCAATGGGAAAGCCAACAGAAAGTGGTGATTGTGGGAGGGCCAAATGTAACAGCCCCCCATTCCCTGCTTAATGCTGGTAACTGGGAAATGCCAAAACAGCTGTTGCTAAGCAATGTAGTGTTGAAATATTATGCTTTACCTCGCTTAGTGACAGGATTCCCAGTCCGAATTGCCATCGTAACCCAAGCGTTACCTGAATGCAAAAACTTCATAGAGATTTCTAAAATCATTACCAAAATCCCTTCCACCACAGTAAAGGTAAGGTTTATTTACAACTAGATAGCAGATTGGAAGATGGGTTGCCTCCAGAAAGGAAGGCAATTCATCTTTTCTTGCTCTAGTCCAGGAGTGTCAAACTGCCAGCCTGAGGGCCGGATGCATCATAGCAAAACTGCGCCCACCCCATTGCCAGCAATGGAAGAAAAGTCGCGATAGGTTGCGACACATCACGTGACATTGTGAGTTTGACACCCCTGTTCTAGTCATTGCAAAATATTCCCACCTGCAGTTCAATCCTATGCATGCTTATGCGGAAGTAAATCTATTTATTACACTCAGTTTAGTTCCTGCCTTTTTCATTTGCGTAACAACTTCATGGATTCAGGCTGAAAAGGAGTAACTGTTTCAAAACACACAGGAATTTTAACTTAATATTCTTTAGTCTAGCCTAAAGAAGCAAGATACTCATTTTTATCAGAAATAAATCTTGGAAATTTGCAATATTGTGCTTTCCTTATGAGTAATGACATCTACTTATATAAGGGGAAAAATTCACTCAGGGCAAGTTCAAGTTACTCTCTATTTTCCAGTGACCAATTCCAATGAAGATCACATTCCTTTCATTGTATTTTGAGGAAGGTTTAATATAGAGAAAAATAAAACTCCTGAGAAAATCCAGGTAATTGGAATACTTATTTACCTGTGAGGAAAAGAAACATGACAGAAAAAAATGTGGATACCTCTGATGTTTGAATCATAACAATAATTTGGGAGGAAAATTGCAAGTCAATGAGATTCCTTGTGCAATGTGTATTGCAAAAAGAGTACTTATTTACACACACAGCCTATTTTAAGTATCCAAAGCACTTCATGTCCAACCACCTTACCTTTGGGTAAACATTGATCTGCAAGAGACTTTCTTTCTGGAGGCAACCCATCTTCCAGTTTTGTCTGCATAAGAAACCAAACAGACCAATGAATCAAGGTATAGATTTTCAGATTCTCCTACTAAATAAGAGGACATTGCCAAGCAATGGCCTGGCTAAATGCAGGGCTTAACAAGGCCATATATGCAAAACATTTATAAAAAAAATTATAAACATAAATAAATCCAAATAGCTTTGTTGAGTGGGACTGTAGTTCTGCAAGAAAGTCAAAACAGCCTTCTTGTGATTGCTTTTGGACTGCTGCATGAGTGAAAAAGTCTACATTAAACATGTCAAACACAAGGCCCGCGGGCCGGGTCCGGCCTGCTAAGTGGTTCCATGTTGCTGCCAGTCTTGCTATTCCACGTGGGTGGGCGGGGGCTGTCTCAGGGAAAGGAAAGCCTCGTATTTGCAAGGCTGGAGGTGCTGGTGGGAGTGGTGGTACTGATCTACAACCTGGTTGCGTCCATCAAAGCCAGAATGCGCTCAGCTTTAGATCCCCTTAGATCTTAGCCCTATCCCGCCTCCTGGGTACACGTGCAAGTGCCCCACAGGCTGACTTCACCCAGGGTGCCGGCTGTTTTCTGTATGCACACCTGGGGGGCAGGACAGAGATGGTGGGGTAGCTCCTTGCTGGTTTCAGGGCTGCCCCCTGGATCTAAGGCTGAGCGCATTCTGGCTTTGATGGACGCAACCAGATTGTAGGTCAGCGCCACTGCTCCCTCCCACCAGCACCTCCAGCCTTGCAGCCACAAGGTTTTCCTTTCACCGGGACAGCCCTCCCCACCCACGTGGGATAGTAAGACCTGTGGCAACATGGCAGCGCTGGCAATCTCTCCCCCTCCCATCACCCCTTCCTGAGCGCGGAGGAAGGAAAGAGATGAGAAGGTGAAGGAATGAATGGAGGAAGGAAGGAATGGAGGGAGGAAGGAAGGGAGGGAGGGAAAAAAGGGAGGGAGGAAGGGAGGGAGGGAGGAAGGGAGGGTGGGAAAAAAGGGAGGGAGAAGGGAGAGAGGAAGGAACAGAGGGTGGGAGGAATGGAGGGTGGAAAGAAAGAACAGAGGTACGAAGAAAGGAAGGGAGGGAGAAAGGAACAGGGTGGGAGGAAGGAACAGAGGAAGGAAGGAACAGAGGGTGGGAGGGAGGAATGGAGGGAGGGAAAAAAGGGAGGGAGGGAGGGAAAAAAGGAAGGAAGGAAGGAAGGAAGGAGAGGCAACTTGGTTGGAGATGCCCCAGTTCACACAGTTCTGCTTCAATCCTGGATCCATTAAGACTTGGGCTCAAAGGAGAAAGCAATTTTGTGTTCTCTTTTGTCACAGACAGGACTTTATTGGCAATCCAAGTTAACACTGGTATTCTTAAATTGTGAACTCTTAGGAAAGTATCCCTTCCTTGTGTGTTGCAAACAACCATTTCCAGTGGGGAAAACAGGACAGAGTAGGGGAAAATATTTTCCTTTGCTATATTTCCAGTCTGAATTAGAGCATGGCAGAGTCCCTTCAGGGGAGCTCTTTTAAGGATTATGTATTAATAGAAAAGCAACTAACTTATCTCTGTTCCTAAATGCTAAAGCTGTTGCACATAAAAAAACGGAGGAGTTCAGATCAACTATCACAGCCACCATTTTGATAGTTCTGCTGTACTGTTGTCTATGGACGCCCCCACTAAATGCAAGCATGGGATAAACTGAGCCTGGTTTGTTCTTGGCCTTTTAAGTGGCCACAGACTACTAGCAAAAGTGGCATTTGATCACAAGGCAAGGAGGCATTGAGAAATGTTTCCCCTTTTGCGTTTGAGCACCCAAGAAGGGACAGGAAAGGAGAAAGGGAAAGAGAAAGAGGAAAGACAAACAAAAAGAAGGAAAGAGGAGAAGGAAGAAGAAAGAAAGGGGAAGGAAGAGGGAAGGAAAAAGAAGAAGGGGGAAGGAAGGAAGGAAGGAAGGAAGGAAGGAAGGAAGGAAGGAAGGAAGGAAGGAAGGAAGGAAGGAAGGAAGGAAGGAAGGAAGGAAGGAAAATTATAATGAGAGGGAGGAAGGGTCTGAGGGAACTCCTGCCTTAGCACTTGGCCCAGAGCAGCCCTACACTGCCATTTCACCATCCCCTCCTCATGACCTCTTCTGGTGGTTTCCCATCCTATCGCTGAGGATGCTTTGGTTACATGAAGAGGGAGTGGGCTTCCCTCTGACCCACACATTTTGCTCTCCCACAACACCATGAACAATTTGGCCAAGGAGAACAAGCACAGCAGCAGCAGCCTTGAGGAGGAGGTAAGCACAGCTGGGCACCCCCTTGGGGAAGTGGGGCTAGACTAGGCTGGCCTGCGGGGTCCCTGAACTTGAGGGCTGGGCACTTGACCTCTGCTGCCCAAGGCTCTGGGCAGCCCGTGCCATCGTCTGGGGCCTCCCCCACACAGCCCGAGAGGGACGGTGAGGCTCCTCCAGTGGACCATGTCCTGGCACTCACCCCGGTCCCACCCTTCTTCACCGGAGACCCTTGGATCTACCTCAGGCCTGCCCAAGCCCCCCTGACGTGAGCAATGTCGAGCTGGCCATGCCCACCCAGTAGGCCACACCCACCCTAGCCACACTCATGCCAACCACACCCAACTGCCCCCCCCCCAAGGGCAACTACAATGCTGATGCGGCTCTCAATGAAATTGAGTTTGACACTCCTGGTCCGCCCTTTTTTGACAGCAGCATCAAGGGAACTTGGACACCAACTCCTTTGCTGTTAGCAGTTGCAAAAATGTAAAAGAAGATAAAAATGATAATATTTAGACATTTAGACCTTGAGGAAGTGCTAAGCACTTGGTCAATTGCTGGTTAACAGAACACCGTCCTAGAACATTTATTCAGTAAAAACTAGAACAGAATTCTACTAATTTGGAGGCATTTTTGAGCCAAGGATAGATCAGTTTAGAATTCTTCTGGGCAACAACCATCAGGACAAACCAAATTGAACCCAACAATTCCCATTTATGCTACATTGCTACACATCCATTCTTTTATCACTATTCTGCCTATATTGATGTAGAGATGGCAGTGGAAGTATCAGAAGAATGAAATTGGGAAAAGGAGGGGTGATTGCCCTTATAAAATTGAAATGGGTACATTGCTGTTTTATTCCAGAATCACATGTTAATAATAAGCCAGTTGGCCACTTTCACATATCCTATGATATCTTTTAAAAAGTTGGAGGCTTTCTTCCTGTGCTCTGATGTAGCAGGTTGGTCATATTGTTGAGTTTCTATTGCCATCTAGAGGCTACAAATAGTTCCAACATGCCTTTATGAGGATAGAGCAACTTTTAGAGGAGTCTATATTGGTGATTACTTGGCCAATGAGAGGAGCAGCCTGGAAACTGAGCACAGCCACGTTACCTTAGAGAACTCACTAGTCTTAGCAACACTCAGAGCACCTTTGAGACTTTCTTGGCTCATGTATTTCACTGGATATACTGAAACATGTAGAGAAATAAATATTTCTCTTCTCTTCATTTTAACAAGTTACAAAAATAGGACTGCACAGATTGCAGGCTCACAGTAGAGAATAACAGGCAATGTTCTCCACGAAGCCTGAATTTACCATTAAGAATACAGAACACAGAATAATAGAGTTGGAAGAGACCTTGAAGCTCTTCTAATCCAACCCCCTGCTCAAGCAGGAGACCCTATACCTTTTCAGACAAGTGGCTGTCCAGTCTCTTCTTAAAAGCCTCCAGTGATGGAGCACCCACAGCTTCTGAAGGCAAGAAGTATGAAGACTACTACTTTGATCAAAGCAACAACTGAAGAGTTTCACTATATAAGTTCCTATTCTACAAAGGCAAGGTCAGCTTTCAAAATTAATGGAGAATCTGCATATACAATAACGCTGAAATATCTACAAGTATGCGACTGGTGCTTTTCTTGAGAGGTCTGGAAATAAAATTTCCATCAAGAGACCTTCTCCAGATGTTCTTATCTTCTGGGTTTACAAAAATGGCCCCTAGAAAAAGAGCCTTTTTGCAGGTCTATTCTTTTTATGATATTTCTTTTCCCACAGGTATTTGCTAGCTATATATATTTTAGTTCTCCAGGATTTTTTAAATGTATCTGCTGAACTGGTTCATCCAACTCTTGTTACTGAGGTTTTATTCTGCAAATAATTTTTGTTATGGTTTTATTCTGAGGGATTTTTTTCATTCCACTTATAGACAGATAGTTAAGAAATACATTGAGAAATGTATTCTGTAACTTTGAGGCTACAACCAGCAAGATCCTGTTTCTTTGTACAACTGATATAACTTCATTGCAACACACAGGAAAACAGCTCCCAATTTGTAAAATAAATTCAAGAATCAAAGGCTCTGATCAAAAAGCAAGAACAATTGCCATCATTTTATAAGTGTAAATACTCCAATTCACCTCACACTGGTTAAAAGTGATTGGTTGACTTGTTCAATCAGCTTTTAATACCAGTCTCAGAAACACTCACCAGATCGATTAGTTCAGACATATTTAAGTCCTTCTTCCTGGTTCTGATTGACAAGCAATGCTTTTTCCTGAATAAAAACCACAAAGGTTTGATTATGAAGGGACTGCATTCATAATAACAGAGAAAATATACTTCAAACTTTAGCATAAGAAACTGTAATATACAAGTCAGAGCACTGGTCCACTTTGTTTCCAGAGCAAACAGTGAATCTTTGATTTACTTACTTAAATTTAAATTTACAATTTGAGATAGGAATAATTTACAGCCCAAGAAGAGATTTAGGAACTGAAGTACAGATTTTCTACACACAAAGTGTCCCCTCTATTGCTGGGTTTTTGTCTTAATAACTAGCAAGTAAATTAAGGGGCTACTTACTGTACAAGCCAGTTGCGTGATGGCCACAAAAAGAGTTCTGGAAAGTGTGCTAAAATACTTAGCAAAACCAAGTGGCAATTCACTAAAGTGTCTTCAGTGCATACACATGTATGTTCAGGTGACTTCTGAGGTGGTCATGTTAAGACTTTTAAAAGTCACATAGACTGGAGCAGAACTTCCCAACCTAGTGGTCTCTAAATGTGCGGATTCCACAATTACCAATCAGCATGGCCCAATAATCCAATACATCCAGAGGGAACAAAAGGCTATGCTAAGATCTATTTTATCACAGATCCAACAACACCTTTTTATAATATCTTATACCACGGTGTGGTCTTTAATGTCACATGCTGTTTCTAATGTAGAATGTGGCCCAAAGAAGTGTGCTAAATCTCACTTATTTGTGGGATATATATATCTAAGAATGCACAAACTCTGTGCAATAATTTTATTGAGGAACGTGATACAATTCCTATCTTCACATCACCTGATTGAACAAGAAGATTCTGATTATGGGGCTATCAGAGGACATGGTCCAAAATACAGTTTTGGTCATGAGGATAGGGCCTTTCAGCAGTAGTTCCATATTTATTTTAGCTAACAATTAAGGACATACTTTTTCATTCAGACCATTATTGAGATAATAATGCAACAAAATATTTTTAATACAACATTTGTTGCATTATAGTATAATTGCCAATTGACATGTGTATTTGTTTTTTGTTTTTTTCTGGATGTTTCAGCTGATTTGCTGTTATGCTGCACTTTTATTGCTTGGAATTCAACTCCTAGGTTCTTTTTAGAGGAATGGTACAATATTATTAATAAGGTATAAAAATAATTGTTACACAAGGGAGAGTCCTCTACTTTATAATTTGGGGTAAGCAGAAATATGGAACTAATTATCTGAGTCATAATTAGTTTCACTCATGATATGGATATCTGAATGGGTCAAAAGAGTGATTATGCATGCCCATTTCATGCTTCTAGGTTGAATGAATGTCTGATAGGAAAAAATAAAAAGCAAAAGCAAGTTAAGAAGCAAATAATCTATCCATTATCTCAGTAATGTACATCCTGCCTACCAATTGTCTCTTTCTCTCTTCTCCACCCATGACATCTCAAGACAATCACATACTTTTTAAAAGGAAAACAGAGAAGCAGCAGAAGGATCATGAGTACGATGGGAGCAACAGATCCTAAACTTCTAATGAGTTGGGAAGATGGGAGTTTGAAGAACGGCGTGAGCTCCATGTTCTCTGTCAGATGAGCAGTCATAAACCCATAGAGGAAAGTGAAACTGAAAGAAAGAGAGAAAGAAAACAATGAAATATACAAGAGGATTTGTATGGGAATTTGTGTGTGATGCACATGGTGCATGGCTGTGTGTACATGAATGATATGGGTCAGAAAGGAGGATTTTAAAATAAGAAATGAAATTCATACAAATCCAGTATTGTATATTTGCAGAACTTATTCTCAAAGTAAGGATCACAAATTAAGATCTTCCCCATTACACTTTTCAGGAGGCCCATGTTTCCATGGTAGAAGTCATCGTTTGTACACAAAAAGTTACGATTCGGCTCCTGGCACCTGCACAAAAAAGGACCTGATAACAGCCACTGCTACAGAAAAAGCCTAGAGATTTCTGCCAATCAGAGTAGACACTGCTGGGCTCAACAGACAAAAAAAATCTAGATTAGATATACAGGTAGACCCCGATTTACGACCACAATTGAGCCCAACATTTCTGTTGCTAAGTGAGACATTCGCTAGGTGAATTTTGCCCCATTTTACCACCTTTTTGCTACAATGTTAAGTGAATCACTGCAGTTGTTAAGTCAGTAGCATGGTTATTAAGTAAATCTGGCTTCCCCATTGACTTTGCTTGTCAGAAGGTCGCAAAAGGGGATCATATGATGCCAGGACACCGCAACAGTCATGAATCAGTTGCCAAGGATCCGAATTTGGATCACGTGACCACCGGGATGCTGCAACAATTGTTAAGTGTTAAAAATAATCTTAACTAACTTTTTTCAGTGTTGCTGTAACTTTGAATGGTCACTAAATGAACTGTTGTAAGTCGAGCACTACCCGTAAAGCGTCTTTCTCCAATTCAATTCTAACACCAAAAGTTCTGATGGGCTCCATTCATCCTTTTACCCATTGATACTTTATTTTCTCTGTATCCTCTATTCATTTATTTCCTACCCTAGATTTAAAAGTACTATTATTTATTCTTTTCTATAATGATATTATTCTAGCTGTGATTTGAATGAATGCTGGTAGCTGCAGCATGAGATACTGTTACTTAACAAAGCATTAATGATCATTTATATATAATGGGGAGGGAAATCCACTTCCCCTAAACATCTCCCACATGATCAATATGGGGTCCACCAGCAAAACTTCATTCCCAGTAAATCAGGGGTGCTTGAGAACCTATGTGAGTGTAGAGATTTTACAGCAATCTGGAGAAATGTTTGTGTGCCCATCCAGTTAAAAAGAGAAAGAAAGGCATGGACATGATAAAAGGACAAAATGAGGCTATTTAAGTCTCATAGTCAGGAATTAGTAACAGGATCCTACAGTTCCACACCGGAGATCAACATGAAAAAGGCCCAGGAGACAATGCTAGAAGATGATCTTTGAGTCCAGCACTGGTCTATTCAAAAAATAGGAGAAGCATATTCTCCCAAGAAAGAGATTAAACATCCCATTAGCTAGCTGTCTGTTCATTTTAATTTAAAGATGACAGACAATTATGAAAATTAGTACTGGAGGTATAACAGAAACAAGGTGGCACAGATGTAACACATTAGGGCAAGAAGCATTCCTGGGAGATTGGCATTGCTTTAAAAAGCTCTTTAAAAAAAAAAAAAAGCCCTGTTTGTCCAAATGTTCCATGCCAGAATACAGTATAATATCAAGAGACCACCAAGAAGAAGCTGCTGGAGTCACCCTAATGGCATGTGTTGTAAATGATAAACAGGACAATCCAGTTTGGGTGAGCCAGAGGGAGCAATGCAGGAATCCCAGCAGGACAGACTTGATTTAATTGTCCCTCCCAGTTGTGGCTTGCTGAGCAACAAGCTGAGAAGGAAAGAAAGTGCAAGGAAGAGAAGGAACTTTTTATTGGCATCCAGTGTAAATGAACCAGTCAATTAGATTTATAGATGGCTATAGCTGAGTGGAAAAACAAATACTTTACAAGGAGAATGGCTCATATTCTACCCTGTTTATCTCTAAGTAAAGTTAGAAAGCTGCTACTAATCAGTGTTGAAAATCTGGAATCAAATAATCCAGTAGAATGACTTGATCAAATGCAGCTTTCTACACCATAGCATTTATAAGAAAAGTAGGTTTCCTCTGTGTAATTAATGAGAAGGGTTAACACTATAAAAGATCCTTTCTGTTTCAGAAAAAAAATTTGTTTTAATCCCTGACATATCTGTACCTAACAGTTAAAGCAATTGTTGGCTTGCCCTTTTTCTCTGCAATCAGGGATGAAAAAAAGAAACAGATAGTTCCACTCAGAAGAATGACAAGGTGGATCAAAGGAACAGCAAAATGTAATGCAAATAGGATGGACTTTGGAAATCCCATGACTGAACCCGTGTAGTGAGATGTCAAATCTGCAGCACCCTGCAGGCTCTCAAAATCTCTCTCCTGTTTCACAAACACAAGGTCAGTAGGAGGAAGCAAAATAAGGTCATGGAGCTGAAGGCTACCGTATGTGAGGATTGCAAGGATGGAAGGGGTTTTAGAAGTCATCTAGTCCAATCCCCTGCTTGTGCGGGAACCACTGGTGCATTTCTCACAGATTATCATTCTAGTCTGTTTGAATACTTTTAGTGAGCAAGAATTCATACTTCATGTGACAGCCTATTCCCCTGGTTTACAATTCATGCACTCAGTTCCTCCAGTTATTTTGCCTGAACCTCCTTCCATGTAATTTTAACATAACAGCTCTACAATATTGCCTTCTGGAGCAATAGAGAATACAAGCAGTCCTTGTTTACTGACTGCCTTGTTTAGCAGCCATTCACAGTTATGACGGTGTTAAAAACTAACCTTGTGATCAATACTTGCATTTACGACATTAGCAGGTCTATAAAGCAAAGGAAAGCTGAAAACAGATTATGACCACAGTTGTGGTTCACTTGGTGACTGCTTTGCTTAATGATTGAATTGTTGATCTCAGCTGTAGTGGCTAAAGAAGTTTAGCAACAATGATCTTCAATAACTATCAACCAGTCTTCCTTTTTTGGCAAAGACTGTTGAGAAGGCGGTTGGCCTGCAACTGATTTTCTAGACCAGGGGTGTCAAACTGCCAGCCCGCGGGCCGGTTGCATCATGTAGAGGCCGTGCCCACCCCAGCTCTAACAATGCAAAAAAAGTTGTGATACGTCGCAATATGTCACGTGACACGGTGAGCTTGACACCTGTGATCTAGACTAATTTCAGTCAGGTTTCAGACTGGGATTTAATACTGAGATAGCTTTGGTCATACTTGCTGATGACTTGTGGTGGAACCAGGATGTTGGTGGTGCATCTATTCTTGTTCTTCTTGATCTCGCAGCAGGTTTTTATATTGTGATCTACAGTATCCTTCTGAGCTAGCTCCATGGGTTGGGAATTGGGCACACCCACCCAAGGACTTGGGATAGTCAGACCTTGTTGTTTGATGGTGGGCAAAAATCATCAGACTATCTCAGACAAATGACTATCCAACATTTGTTTAAAAACCTTCAGTGATGGAGTACACCTATGACTCCAGGAGATGGGCTATTCCACTGCTTAATAACTCTCATAGTCAGAAAGTTCTTTATTTCAAATTTGGATTCGTCTCTGTAAAGCTTCTATTCATTAGTTCTTGTCATACCTTTCGGCACTATGGAGGATAAGTCTACACCCTCTTGCTTATGATGGCCCTTCAAGTATTGGCAGTCTCCTGTCATGTCTTCACTTAATCCTATTTTCTTTCAGCTAAGCATATACAGTTATTTTAGCATTTGCTCATAGGATTTAGCCTTCAGACCCTTCATTATCATTGTGTTCCTCTCTGCAATCTTTCCAGTTCCTCAGCATCCTTGTATTATGCCTGTTGATGCAGCCCAAGATTACACTGCTCTTTTGGCAGCTGCAACATGCCTGCTCATGCTTAATCTATAGTCTACCAGGATACTTTGGATCTTTCTCAGAAATATTACTGCTGATCAGGTACTGCCTATCATCTACCAGTTTATTTATTTGATTTTATCAAAAAGGAGACTGTAGTCCAGTTTATCAAATGCCCTATTGAAATCTAGGTGCACTATATTCACAGTACTCTCTTGATCTACTAATATTGTTACTTAGTTAAGAAAAAGATAGTACAACCTGTTTTTAATACAAGCTGGTTCATTTTGTACCTTTTAAGGCAGCGGTTCTCAACCTATGGGTCGCGACCCCATTTGGGGTCGATCGCCCATTTTTGGGGGGTCGCCAAAGGCAGAGATCCGCCATTTTCCGCGGTGCCGTGCACGTGCGCCACGCATGGGGGGCGCCGCCGCACATGCGTGCCGCGCATGGGGTGGCACCGTGCACGCGCCCCGCGCATGGGGAGCGCCGCACATGCGCGCCGTGCATGGGGGCGGTGCCGTGCACGCGCGCCACGCGTGGGGGGCGTCGCGCATGCGTGTCACGCATGGGGCGGCACCGCGCATGCGTGCCGTGGGTGGGGGCCCCGCCCCCATGCACGCGGCCCGGCGCATGCGCAGAACGTTTGTGTGACGGGGGTCGCCGTCACACAAACGTTGAGAAGCACTGTTTTAAGGGGTTGCAAACCCGTTGCATGATGATCTTTATTAAGATCTTCCCAGACATTGTTATTTCTCAGTCCCCGTTTTCCTCTTCTAAAAGATTGGCAAGACTCATCTTCTAACTACTTCCATAGGAGGATTCCGATACTTCACATGGCACAGAGAGATGATAATCTATGGCAGTGGTTCTCAACCTGTGGGTTGGGACCCCATTTGGGGTCGAATGACCATTTCACGGGGGTCGCCAAACAACGCAGTCCGCCATTTTTTCCCCCTTTTCCTTAGCTATGCTACTCCCTTTTATTCTATTGGCTTTTGAAAGCCAATAGAATAAACTCTCTTGAATAGAGTCTAATTCTATTGGCTTTCAAAAGCCAATAGGAATTGTCCAGGCTGTCTCTGCCCTGCTGAGCCCGCCAAAAGTCCCATTCTGCAAACGGTGCTGCAAGTTGTCTGCAGCAAAGGCAAGCTGTCTGGAAGTTTCCACCCCTCCCTG